CTCTATTCTCTTCCTCTTTCAGGCTTCAGTCTTTCCAAGGTGGGTTTATGTCTGAGGGCCCTCCAAAGTCCCAGGACTTCATTTGGAGGGATTTGGAACATGCCTGTGCGCCCAACCAGTTTAGTTACCTATTTTGCCAGGACAGAGCTCTCTTTCCAGCACCCTGGCCCCTGAGTTGAGTAGCTGCTCTTCATCTACCACATGCCTTATCTAGAGCTATACTGATTGCTCTGTCTTAGTACCCAGAGTTCCAGTAGGACAGGGACTTGACTGAATACAACCTGCTATTGGGATCCTGACACTCAGCTTAGTTGAGAGAACGGACAGTTCTATTTAACATTGCATTTTCTTGCGTCTAACCTTATACATTTTGTTTTTTGTGCATACTGTTTAACATCTCTGAGCCTGAGCATATTCATCTGTGAAATGGGGATAAGAGTGTTTATCAGGCATGGTTGTTAAGAAATTTAAATAAAGAATGCCAGCCCATAAGGGAGTTTTGAAAATGTCTCCTCCTCCTTCTGCCAGGCACATTATTAGCTACTGGCATAGACCCTTCCCACTGGCATAGATCTCCTGGTTTCCGTGCTGCTGTGAACACTTTTAAGCTGCCCTAGCTCCAGCCTGTATGGCACACTGTCAGTGTTCATGACTATCTCCCCAGTAGGTCTGCCTGGCTTCAGAGAAGGAAAAAAAAAATCATTGTTTTGGTTCAAGTGTGATAAACAGTGATTGACAGGCCTGAAAAAGAAGCTGTTGAATAACAGGGAAAAAAAAGCCTCTAATTATTCCCCTAAACCTGTCTGTTATCCCGTCTGTTCAATTCATTCTTTGACAACTGCCTTCACCTCCCTGCTTTAACTGTTTAGGAATAAATTATTTTGAAGAAATGTGTTTTCAAATAAATTTGTTAAAGGTACAATGTTGACATTTGGGAAGCTCTATATACTGAACCTGAGCTCCCCTGCACTCCATTGAAAGTCTGTGAATCACTCTAACTGGGGAGCCGTCCATGATGGCAGCTAACAGGGATGGCCAGGTTCAAAGGGCAGCTTCTGCTCTTGGATCCTTCACGATTAGATGGGTGACCTTTGGGCAATCCTTTACCCTCTTGAGACACAGCTTCTTCCTCTGTACAATGGGCACACCTCTCCTACCTCTTGGAATAATGGATATAAAAGCACTTTGGAAATGCAAAGAATGATTATTGTTATTACCTGGTGCTCAAAATACAGATCAATTCAATGAAAGAAGAATACTAGCTGTCTGGGCTGGTTGCTCTAGTTCCTGCCCTGGGGACTCAGTCTCTGACCTTGGCCTGTCAACCAGGATTCTCTGCATAAGTCTTCACATCTCCGTAGTGAAGAGAGCCAGGAGCCCTTCAGGGACTTTCCTAGGTCTGGAGCTGGGGCAGGGGTTTGGTTGAGAGGAGGAAGGAAGGAAGAGGAAGGCTTCTGGAGGAGGGAGAAGGTGGGAGAATCCAGGATTTGACTGTGGGAGTTCATAACCTTATCATGGCTATTGTTACCCTGGCCATATCACTCGCTTATCCTCCCCATTGTTGCTGGGCCTGGGGGTTACCCTGATGGCCATTGTCAGCAACATGCACAAGGTTCAATCCATGAAGCAGGCTCTCTTGGTAGCGAATGTATTGTGTTCATGTGAAATTCCCAGTGGGTGATGTAAGGAGAGGGGCCTGAACCAGAAACGGGAGTTCTTATCTAATCATAGAGTCTGCTTTTTAGAGTTGGGCTGATAGCCGAGCAGCAATCCTTAAAAAGGGCTTTAATCTGAGCATTAAACTAATAATATTAATAAAAAACACTTTGAGCACTACTATATGTCAGGCAGATGCCAATCAGGGGGGTTTTCTGTCCCTCAAAACATAGATAAAATAGGCTATTCTCCACCGGGCCAGCTCTGTAGCCTGTGAAAGTCTAAACTCCTCCTGCAGATTTTTGTGACTGAGAGATGTGTGCTCCCAGGCCCATATCTGTCTTCAACTTTCTTTCTCTGTCCTCTTTGTGGCCTTCTTTTTGCACCACACCATTTTAGACATGAAATTCAGGGCACTTCTTGCATTTTCACAGCTAAAACTTCTCACATCAGCATTCACATGGTTATAGTGTGGGATGGAGAGAGACTCAAAGGGAGATAGCTGTACACAGTGCAACTAAAGTTGCTGTTTCTCTCTTTCTTATCTCCCTTTTCCTTCCTTCCCCTCCCATTCCTCACCCCACCCCCTTCTCCCTTCCTCCCCTTCTGATCCTGGTTTGCTTCGAAACCTCCACAATGTTCCTCTCTATATATATGAAAAGTAATTTCTAAATGCAATGTGGTATCCCGGGTTGGATCCTGGAGCAGCAAAAGGGCATTTAGTGGAAGAACTGGTGAAATCTGGATGGTCTATAATTTAGTTAGTAGTATCGTGCTGTGTTAATTGCTCAGTTTTAACAAATGTATCACATCGATGTTAACCTGGGGGGAGCTGGGTGAAGGGTATGCAGGAATTCTCTGGATTATCTTTGCAATTTTTCTCTGAATCTAAAATAATTCCAAAATAGTTTATTTTTGAGAAAAGTACTGTCCCTTCTCCTTGCTGATGTCTCAGCACTACCTCTCATGGCCTCGCCTTCTACCCTAAGCTCCTTAACAGGGGAGTTTCCCAGCAAAAAGATTGCTCTTCCTAATAGAATTTCTAGTGGCAGCTGAGATAATAGAGCTTCCTCTGTCTGCCTTCAAGTGTACATTATCTTACTTAATCTGCACAATAACCCATGTGTCCAGTATTGTTACTCCAAATTTCCAGATATGAAAATTAAGACTCATGCTAACTCAGTTCTAGCAGAGACAGAATTCAAATCCAGGTTTTTAGCCCAAACCCATGCTCCTAACCACTGTATTAGCCTTCCTGCCTTTTCTCTTGGTAAGAGTTGTACTCTTAGATCAGCATTTAACCTCTTAATTTCACCAACCAAGTTGTTACCCCACCAATCATATCCTAAGTTAATTAGTCATCCAACCATCCATTGATTAATTCAACATTCATTGATCATACCATCCCGTGTGCTGGCTGCTTACTAGGTACTAAGGTTCCAGAAATAAGACATGATTCCTGCCTTCAAGGGGCTTTAGTCTGATAGAAAAGACAGGAAAACAACTTCAATATAATTAGGTAAGTCCAGCTATAGAAAGGTGGAAACAAGGGGCGATAATTGGGAGCTATGAAGGAAGCGGTCGTCTGTACCTGGGGCTCCAAGAAAGGCTTTATGAAGGAAGGAAGGCTTAACTTGAATCTTCAAGGATGAACGAAGATTTTCCAAGAGGAATCAAAAGTAAGGATAGGACGCTGCAGGCCAAGGTATCAGTATGAACAAAGGCATGGAGGTGTGAAAGAACACCCAGGAGGTGTCAGTACTGTGGCCTGCTGGGCACTCAGGGTGTGGGAAGGTCATGGGAGGTGAAGTCACGGAAGCACAGCAGCCAGATCATGGGGACCTTGGGACTTTCCTAAGGATATTTGACTTACCCTGTAGATGACAATGGAGGAGCAAGGATGAGTTTCAAGGAAGGGAGTGACATGGTTGCATAAACGGGTCTGGCAGTTGTGAGAGGAAAGATTAAAGAGGCAAGTGTTCCCACGTTTGCCAGTACCTTGACTACTGACCATCATAGCCTCACGTGTGCCAGATGTAGGTAAGCCTGGAGTTGCTTGTGGTCATCCAGAAGCCCAACTGTAGCAGCAAAGGAAGAGGTCAGTACAGACATAGAAGCAGAGCTGAGTGATGGAGAGAATGACAAAGTCCCTCAGGGACATTACTTGAGCTCCTCAATGCAGAGGTGCTGAAGCCACCACTAACCGCACCCCATCCTCCTGAGTTCTATGAGCCAACCAATCTCCTTCCTGGATAAAGCTAGTTGGAGTTGGGTTTCTGTTCAAGTTATCCAAACTCTCTGTGCTTCACTTTCCTCCTCTGTAAAATGGGGCTGATAATATGACCTACCTCACAGGACTCTAGTAAGAATTAAATGGGATTTTATAGACAGAAACAGACCTAGCTATATACATACAATGCATAGTACTGTGTCTGGCACATAGAAAGCACTCAATAAAGGTTAGTTATTATTATAATAATTATCATCATCATCATTATCATTATCACTAAACTGCTGGGCTTACATCCAAAACCATCAATCTGAGCCTACACTCCCTGTTGCTAGCAGAGGGACAGCTGTACTTTGCATCAGCTTGCTCTCCAAAGGCTCAGGATTTGGCAGTAGCTGGTAGAGCATTTTAATGGGGCTCAGTGTTTTCATTTCTGTCATTTTGTTGTACCTGCCCCCTGAGGCAGCTGAAGTAGAGAAATCCCCAAGAAGAAGAAATAAATAAAATAAGAAGCTGTGATGAACCCCCTCATTATTCTCCAAGTTCAAGCCGTTTTTCAGGGTATCTTTCGGTAAGCAAGCCAAGACTTGGAACCCAGTGGATCAAAGCACAGTTTGTGGCCCCTGGAGGTGACAGATTGGGTGGATGGGGGTCAGGAGGCATTAGGGACAATATGGGGAGGCTTAGCAGCCAGCACTGGACAACAATACATTCTGGAAACAGTAGTTTTCAAATTCATATAACAGCACGGAGATCACCCATCAGTTAGAGCCACAGATATTCAGAAGCCATCTTAGAAAGCTCTAATGATTATTTTTAACTACACATATCAGACAGCTGGGCTGTCTCCTCTGGCAGCTCTGTCAATCTCTGCAAATCTGAGTGAGAGTCATGGAAGGTGACAGCAGCAGAAATGGTGGCCAGAATGGCATTCCTCTTGGGTGGGCAACAAATGAAGAAAAATCCTTAGACTAAGCAGACCCACTCTAACCTAGCAAATAAGAAGCCCCTTTCTGTTATTAGTGGTCATCCAGGCCTTCTATCTGCTTCAGCTGTTGACTGATGAAAGAATCTTTCGAGGTCCTAACCTGTTGTTTTTGTCTCTTACCTTCAGGCCTGCTCTTTCACTGGAACTTAAAGATGACCATCAGTATCTCTTCTTTGACCTGTAGTGGTCTCAAGGGTGGCCCTGCATCTCCAGTTAGTCTGCCTTGGATAACACCCTGACTCGCTGGAACCTCATCATGCCTGGGTCTTTCCTGACCCTTTTACCACCTTCCTACCAAAGGGGCACTGGACAGTTTTCCTACTCTTCCTTCTTCCTCTCCTGCAGAAAGTCTGGTTCAATGGGGCTGAGCTGAAAACCTGGCATCAACGTTTTAACAAGTACCTTAGATGATCTGGTGCAGGTGGTCTGTGGATTATGCATTCTGACACACTGCTTCACAGCTTTCATGAACATTCTCATCCTTATCTCCATTACTTGTAAAAGGAACCCTTTCTCTTTAGAAACGGTCTTTTAGATCATACAGAGGAATTAGTTCAGCTTGCAGAGACTTGGTAAATTTATTATCTTCCTGAAGCCAAGTGAGACCACACAAGAGCATGTGACATGACATCTCAAGTTCATTGATAAAGAGACTTCACAAAGATACTATAGAGAAGATTTTGCCACTGTTATCTTTTCCACCTCTTCTCCATTCAGTATCCTCTGCCTTATAAGACCCCCTATCCTGCAATGAGGAGTAAGAGAGAAGACAGACAGTGGTTGCCTTTCTGGCCCTTATATTCTTTTAGGTTCCTCACAAAGGATAGTGCCCCTAATCTTGCCCTTAATTCCAGGGTTTTTCACCACTTTAAGCCCACCATTATGCTTGAAGACCCTCAGCTTACCTACATTCTATATACTAGACAAGGCAATTGGGTTCTTGCAGGGGACCGTTAAGTACTTGAGATGAAGAAAAGCTAACTTGTAGTAGACTTAGCATGAAACAAAAGAGACAAGAGAGCCACCATGTAAACAACAGGCAATTCGCGGTCATTCCATCATGAATTAGAAAGGTGAGATCCTTGCTTTAGACACAGAGAGAAGGGAGCCTGGTAGTTTTTTGCCTGTTAGCATGCTTTACTCCATTTTTGTTTGATGATCAGCTCTCCATGCAGTTAAAATTCTGTAGTGTTAGGCCTCTGTGACTCATAACACTCAACTATCATGTTTGATCTTTATGAGTTTTGGGCATAATTAGCTAATTAATTAATTAGGCAAATATTCATTAAGCCCTTACCGTGTGCCAAGTGCTCTGCTGGGTCTTCGATATATACAGATGTGAGTACATCCTTGTCTCCATGGAGCTTACAGTCTAGGGACTCAATCCTCACAGGGAAAACAAGAATCAGAGAAGCCAAGCCACCTGCCTAGAGTTGCAAAGCCATTGGAAGCCAAGTCCCCTGTTCTTTTTCTCTACAGAACTTGATTACTGAGATCATGATCTCTTGTCTTGACATCTTGAGATACAAGTACAGGGACAAGGGCTTTGAATGGCTCTTCCTGCAGCAGACTCACCAGGTGCTGACCGCCCCCTCCATCAATGCTAACCACCCCCCTGCTCACTGCTTTTCTGAATTAGGGTCACTGATGCTTTCTATGTAAGTCCCAATTCCTTCAAACTTACAAACCAGTCCTCTGGTCATGGGTTTCCTCCCTGTGCCGACTCAGCACGCTGACCAGTGGGCTCTGGAATTCGTCTTGCTTCTGAAAACCTGGTGTGCTTGGGAGAAACCATAGATTCCTGAATTCTCAGCAAGACAAGCTTCCCTCTTCTTTCTTTTTTCCTTCCCTTCCTTTTCTTTCTCTTCCCATCTTTTCCTTTCCTTTCTCCTCGTTCCTCCCGCCCCCAACCCCACCGTGCTGGCACTGTTCTGATGACCAGGCTTCTGTCGGGGGAGACCTGCAAAGGACTCTAGCTCTCTCTGGGAACTCAAGCACTCCCCTAAATCCAGCTTATTTGATTGGGGTCCTAACAGCCCAGCTTAATTCTTGACAGGTCTTTTCCCGGGATAGGGAAAAGGGATACTAGGGTTTGGCCTGAGTTTTGCTGTGAAGAGACAGGTTATCTGAAGCCAGGAAGTCTACACCTATCTGGATTCCTTCTGCCATACTTCTGGGAAGGCTTGGTGGCCCAGGCACCCTAGGTGAGTGTGAGCTGATCATTTTGCCTCCAGCCATGTGGTTGTCCCAGGGGGCACTGTAGGGACAGCTCCCCCAACTTGGTCCTTGCCCGTTCACACTTCTGCTTGCTCCTTACCAGTCACATGGCTGGGGCCCCACCTCACTATATATGGCGGAGCCTGCTTGAATGAGGTCCAGGATGAATTTTCCATGACACATTCATCCTCTTTTGCCTTGTGATCAAGTACATGTGTGTTCCACAGAGATGCATAATGAGACCTTCTAGCTTATGCCAGGGTCACTCCTGGAGGCACATTGCCTTGTTATGGTGGCCATTCCCAGCTGAGATACCACAAGATGATGTTTGCACATCAGCAGCAAGAAGAATTAGGAATTAAATGACCCAGGGTAGGTAAAGCTCTTTGCCTGGTATCAGAGATACAGGGAACAAGGACTCAGCAATTCATTCAGCATTGGCCTTAAAGATCAAGTGGATCTAAGCTTGTGGGAGCACAGTTCACGAGCCTGACTACATCTGGCTAGGAATGAAGTGAAAGAGCAAGGGATTCCAATATACTGTTTCCTTTTCCATCTTCCATTTATTATTATATTTAGAATTTCTGTGGGACTTCCTGCTTGTCTAAGCAACCACTTATCCAGCCCTTCCAATGATGTCTCCCCTTTGCTTTTCACAGGCAGTTTGGGAAGATCCTTAAAATGAAACACATCTTCCTTTTTCCTAAGGCATCCCCCACCTTTCTCAACTCATAAGAGTCAGAGTCACTGCAAACTGGGACCCAGCAGACAAAAACAAGGGGTGTGCATGAACCATCATGGTAAAGAGAACAAGGTTCTGGAGGCAGATGGTTTTGGCTTTATATCAGGCCCCTGCTGTTTACTAGCTATGAGATATTTACTAGCTACTAGCAGATTACTTCGTCTCTCTAAGCCTCAGTTTCTGCATCTTTCAGGGTGTCTGACCCAGCATTTAGAGTGGGTTAAACAAATGACAGGCATCAACTCTTATTCTATTCTGTTGGTAGGCAACTCAAATCCAAGAAGGAGAGATGATAAAAGCTATTATCTAGAGAAGAGGCTAAGTTTCAGGAAATGTGCATGGTTATTTGGAGGGTAGTGGTGGTAAATAAGTAGTCCCACTGATTCTGTCCAATACACCTCCAAGGTGCCCCCCAGTAATCTCCACCTCCTGGTGTTCATGCCCTCATGTAACCCCTCCCCTTGAGAGACTAGTGACTCAATTCTAGCAAACAGAATTCAGCAGAAGTGATGGGATGACACTTTTGAGATTTGGTTATGAAAAGACTTCACCTTGGGTGTGGTTTCTCTTGCTCTGTCTCTGATCACTTGTGCTGGGGGGACTCAAGCTGCCATGTGTGAGCTGCCCTGTGGGCAGGCCCATGTGGCATGGTGAGGAACTAAGGTCCAACCACATGAGCAAGGTTGGAAGTGGGTCCTTCAGTTCTAGCTGAGACTTCAGATGAGACCACATCCCTGGCGAACAATTTGACTGCAACCTCAAGAGAGAACCTGAACCAGAGGCACCCAGCTAAGCCCCATCACAATTCCTAACTCAGAGAATCTGTGAGATAATAAATGTTCTTATTTTAAACTGCTAAATTTTTGGTGTAATCTGTTATACAGAGATAGTATGGCATCTTTGCTACCTGGGCTTTTAATTTAGTTGTCTTCTGCCTTGAGGTTTCTCTGAGGGCCCACTCAGCTTGGCGATAAATAGAACTGGGAGACTGGGGTGTATGGAAGGCACTGGAGTTGCAGGAGAATGCCTGGAGCCGCAGAAAGTAATGTCATGATGATCTCATCCCTCAGAGAATGGCTATGAAGGAACAGAGGCTGGAGAATAAAGCCTCTCTGTGGTGCAAGTCCAGCTGGTCTGGGCAAGGCCTCAGTGCCAAGTTTGGGCTGAAAGTGTTAAAGACTGTGGACTTCCCCTTGGCAAGGTGGGGGTTCCCAGAAGGCACAAGGGACAGGATGAAAAGTGAGAGGGAATTGAGGCAGCAGTGCAGAGATTAGAAGCACTGTTGTTAAGAGTCCAAAAGACCAGGCTCTGCTATTTTCTTTTTGTGTGACCCTGAACAAGTCGTTTAACCTCTCTGAACCAAACATTTAAAAGAGAGATGATAATAATCCACTCTGAAGGGTTATTTTGAAAGTTAAATGGAGTAATGTAGGTAAAGTTTTTAGCAGAATGCAGGTGAATAGTTGATGATGTTGTT